GTCACCCGCCCCAAAAGCTGCTTCCGTGTACAACTGTTGGCGCAAGCTACATTAAAGTGATTATTACGTTTTGAACATGGATATTTTTCCTACTAAAACGCATGGATTCGCTACAGAAGGCCTTTGTTCACCCCCCGGAGCCGTGTGAGACACTTTTTTTATGGATGGGCGCTTTTTATTTAACTTCTTTTGGACTGATGCATGCAACACCCGCTGAGTGCCATGAAACAGCTTGAAAGATCAAAGACAATTTTTAATATAACTCAGACTGGATTCGTCTGAAAGAAGAAAGTCATATACTCCTAGGATGACTTGAGGGTGAGTAATTTATGGGCTAATTTTCATTTTTGGGTGAACTAACCCTTTAAGTAATTTTGTTATGCTTTTTTTTACTTTTTTTATGGTTGCTAAGTTCAAGTTTAAAGTGTTTCATCTAATATATTATTTCAGCTTTATTTAAAATTTTTATAGTTTTACTTCATTATAACAACACTGTTCTGAATGTCCATAGAACATTATATTTACAGTCTCTGTAACATATTCCAGAAGTTAGAAGAGCAGAAGTCAACGCAGGCCAAACCAAAAGTAAACTAAGACACTACAAACCCCTAGTCTCCAAAATAGTTAAATAAAACACAATCACAAGTTAAAATTGAGGACTAGAACAAAGAACTATTGTCTTTTGTTTAAAAATCTTATTGGTAAGACTATAACTTGCTCTCTTGACTAAAAAAAAACAAAAAGTGAATGTAAACCATTCAGAGCATCGCTATTGGCCGGAACTTTTTTTCCCTCCATGCGGCCCACATGGCAAAGCAAATTGTTTGTCTTGGATATTTTTCTTCCACTTCCTCTTTCTTTCTTTCCCTCCACGTCTACTCATAACATCTGCTGACCCATTTTAGAAAAACACAAAAAAGGAGGGGGAATTCACCTCCCATATACTGTAGAAGTGAAGCAGTTTTTTAGCCGGGTTAACACCGCTCACATTGCACCACGCGACTGCTTCTGAAGGTTCATTGGGGTTTTCTGCTCTCTTAATAGCACATATGTGAGTATCTTCTGGGACGGAAATGAAGGGGCCAACGTGCTTATTTGGTTCATTAAAGTTTGGCAAAAACAGACTGGAAAATATGTTTCTGTGGGAGGCCCCAACAGAGCTTTAATTTTATACCAAGGGCAACATTATAGCTCTGTTCCAAAACCTAGTGAGCTGTCTATGTAGGAAGCATGTAGAATGTTCCAAATCAATTACGAGGTTCTAGAAGGCAACTACCTATGTAGGCAGCTCACCAGTTTTTGGAACAGACCCATAAATGAACTTCCATTTTAGCTCAAAATCTATTCTTAAGCAACGGTGTAAAAGCTGAATGAAAATATTTGTATTGAACTGTCAAAGACAACACTAAACAGCATTTTCAAACCATAAACTCATGTAAACCCAAGTATTGTAACATTTTCATATGGAAACATATTCATTGTTGAGATAAATTAGAGTGGGTCTGGATATGATCCATTGGGATTTCACTGGATTTGTGGAAAGTGTGCTAATGAGGGTATTTTTCTCCACCCACCACCAAACAAGGGAAAAAAGGCTAGCACATTTTGAAGGAACATTATAACGAACATTGTTAAATCTTGAGACAGGGATATCTATCCATAACAGTACAATGATTTTGTACTTATGTAACTCCAAAGATCACAATGAATACTTCCATTACTGTGATGAAGCAACTTTCCCCATCTTTCCAAACCAGGCCATTTCATTTCAGCTGTTCCACTAAAATCAGGAAGGAACATTGTGTACTTCCTCTTCTCCAGCTTCATATTTATAATGTTTCTGATTTATATCACATGACAGCATCCATCTATCATCTGTTATGAGGGGAGTGAAACCAGTATCAAGAGATTTACATAGCTTTACATAGACCAGAGGTCAGCAACCTGGGAAACTGAAAGAAATTCATCTTGTATTTGTGACGAGAGGGGCAGGGCCGAGAGCCGTGGGAACGGAGCGAGGCCGGCGAGAGCAATGGGAACGGAGCGAGGACTGTGGAGTAAATGCTAATGCACGACACCTGCGCCACTCACCGGTCTCGAGTCCCACGGAGGAGCTCCGGAAGTATAAAAGGAGGAGTGATGACAGTGTTGGACGAGAGAGGACCAGGCCTGGACTTTATTTTGTGTGTGGTGTGCGGCAGTCGTCCGCGAGGGGCTGCCGCTTTACTTTCGTTTTGTGTTTGTTGATTTTATTAAAGTTTTAAATGTTCGCCGGTTCCCGCCTCCTCCTTCCCGAACTACGAACTTTGTTACAGTATTTATTAAACGTATATTTACTGCAGAAAATTCGAAGTTGCTATGCAAAGTCCTTGCATCTGCATGACTTCAGACTTCCTCTAAACCTTCCTCATGGTTACATATTCTGTTTAGTTATGTGAAGTGAATGGAAGCCAAACATCCACTGGACAAGTAAACTGATACACAAATATCCAGTGGGTCATGCAGTGCCACTCAGACGCACACGTGTTCTCATTGCTGCAAAAAATCTTTAAAAAATTCTGCTCTTTTGAGATTTCTATTCATCAAAGAATGCTGAAAAAAAAGTATCACCGTTTCCACAAAAATATTAAGCATTGATAATAATAAGAAAGATTTCTTAAGTACCAAATCAGAATATTAGATTGATTTCTGAAAGATTCTGCGGCACTGCAGAAAATTCAGCTTCGTCATCACAGGAAAAAATTAAATGTTAATATATATTTAAATATAAAACAGCGATTTTAAATTGTAATACTATTTTTGAAATATTACTCTCTTTTTGATTAAATAAATGCAGCCTTGGTGAGCATAAGATACTTCTTTACAAAACTTAAAAATCCACAGGCTCTTTTTCTGACCCTTTCTCCACCTCTGTTTTATACTGAAGCTTTGAGATTCCCTCTCAGGGTTTGCTGGCAGGGTAACAATTCAAGCAAAGCATAAATCCAGGTCTTCAAGTTCAAACGTCTCTTCAGCCAGTGCTACCCTTCCGAAAAACCAACCTAAAAGATTCTGTGACGAGAAGAGGCCAGTCTGAACAAAACTCACCAACTAATCCTAATTCTGCTTAAATACAACTACTAACACCAAAATGTGCCCAGAAAGTTTCATAAAATGGAAAAGAAAGCAATAAAGGGTGATTCTGGCATGCAAAAAGCAGTTTTGCGAAGGAGTAAAACACACAGGGGGAGCAGACAGACGGATGTTTCACAGTGAGTGTGTGTGAGTAAATTGGGGGCTGATCTCTGTGATCTTGGAGTGAACTGGGAAGTCGTTGGCCGTTTGTTAACAGGAGCTCTCTCATACAGGCGACGACTGCTTCCTTCCTGCACTGTCACTGACACCCTGAAGCACATGCACTAAACACAACGGAGAGCTGGGGAAAAAAAAAAAAAGAGAGAGAAAGCAGGAGGGGGAAATAGAGAGCACACAGAGTGGACCTCCACAGATAAACAGATATAGGACTATTATTAGAGAAAACAAACACTTCACATAACTAATCTAACCATCTAACGTTTCAAAGAACATATTTAAATAAATGGATGAAACTCATGAACCCTAATGAACATGTCCAAGTCGTATTTCAAACCAAATCAAATATTTTGCTTAAAAGAAAAGGAACAGGATATTTAGGATATTTTTTTTTTTTTACATTGTGAAATTATCTGACTGAAAATAAGGGAGCCTCAAATTACTTTATGCCTTGTTTTCTGAAAAAAAGTTGCTTAAAACAAGAACAAATATCTGTCCATTTTTTTTTATTATTATTGTTTTAAGCATATATA